TTTATGTTTTTGCAGTGTTCAAAAAAGTCTTGAATTGACTTGTTGAATTGGGAGCAGAGTTTCAGTAAAGAAGCACTTGGAGTGTAATGATGGTACAAACCTTTGTTAATGATCCAAAGGCAGCAAATAAAGTGATGCAACAGAAGAGGGTAAAAGTGCAAAAGAACAAAGAAAACCTGCTTATTAAGCCGTTTACAGCTTGTGGCTCTGATTTGGGGTTAAACTGTGTAATCCATGAGTTCATCAGAGGGCTGTGTTTAAATCACCACAGTGCTCAGTCTGTGCTCAGCTTCACTCACTTTGCTGGTAAATTTTGTAGAATGTCAGACTTCACACAGACCTTGACTTCAGGTGGTGTAATATCAGCCTGAGTGCTGCACAATCTAATTATAATGTCTGGCTATAATTACATTTCCATGAAAATCGGCTCCAGATCTGACACACTATACCGCTCCACTGGCTTCATGCTGAGTTCTCTGATGTAAAGCTTAATGATGTATTGTTTTAGTGACAGCAGTTACTGGGTCTAATGTGGATTTTAATGCATTCCTTAATTGATATTTATCTCCTGTCGCTGTGTTATGTCTTTATTTTGCCGCTGAGCTCTCTGGGTTTCCTATTTCACATTTATAGTAACACAGTAAATCCTGCTGTACGTTCTGTTTGTTTTTCACTGTGGTCTGTAAATCTAAAGCATCACTGACTCAGATAACAGAAGCTGTGTAAATCTGATCGCCTTTACTGCTGACGTTTACATTTGTGTGGGGAAAACGGATTAATCCAGGAATGTTTTATTGTCAAGGAAGCAGAGGGAGGACTGGACGATTACGGAACGATGTAAAATTTCTTATTTTTTTAGTTAAAAAAAATTCTGCTGACAGAAATCCCAGTGTTTAAGCTCTTGTTAGCAAATGCATTACATTTAAAATCTGATTTGTTTTTTAATCAAATTAGCAGAATTTTTTAATTTAAAACAATTAATTTGGCTATGGTGAACTTCTTTTAAACAATTATGTTAAAAAAATAACATTGTGTACAGTACCCTAAAAAGTATTACAGGTTTACCGTGAGAGATTTTTAAATTATTTTAGGCAAAATAACAAGTAAACGCAAAATTGATTTTCCAAATATTTTTTAGAAAATCTGTGATTTAATGGTGACTTATAATTAGTCCTGGAACAGAACCTCCACAGGCGATACAAAACATGGTTTTAGTACATGTTTCTACTGAATAACTCACTTCAAGCATGAGTGGAACTGGACCATCAAATTGTTTCATGGTTAAGTTTGAAATCTGGACAGAAAGTGAATAAAAATGTATCCAAACTTGAATAAAAAGTTTTTGAAAATGTCCAGAAGACCTGGAGAAGTTTTTAATCAGGACCGCTTCAGATGATTCAACGAAGGAAAACGCTTCAGATGATGCTTAGAAGGAAAACGGATGAATTATGGGTGGTTTTAACCTTTAACCCAGTACTGAATGCATCTATTAATCAAGTTTTTTGGCTAGTCATTTCAAGTACAAAACAAAATTGTTTGAGAAATGCTGATTTTAAAAAGAAAATCTATCAATATTGTCTTTTTTTTGTGATGTTTTGCTTCTTCTAACCTAAACCATGAATATGCAGACAGACATCTGTATGTTTTAAGTGTATCAGATTAACACTCTGTTGTCGGGTGTTTGCGATCATATGAGCGGTTTATGATGCTGTGACTCTGTGAGAAGTGCTGCATTGGGGCGTCTTTGTGTGGAAGGAGCCCGGAGCTGATCAGCAGCCTCTGGCCCTGAAGGGAAGCGCGGCCAGATCACAGCTGCATGACAACAGCCTAAAAACAAACCTCCGCCAGGCTGAGCGAGATGCCAGAGCGCTCCGTCTATTTCCAGCCCTCTGGATCTTCTGTATGTGCAGCTTTCAAACAGCCACTTCAGTCTGAATGTCCAGTGTTGTTATATTAGTATTTTTTTTTTTTTTTAAGGTTTGCTCATAATGAAGAGTGATGAAAATAGATGAGGAGTGACGCCTCTGTAAGAGCAGCTCTGTTGGGTGGTTTTGCTCAGTAATAGCACATGTTCCACTGTTTTAAGGACTTATGCCATTTCTTCTCCCTGTTTGAACTTTGTCCTTGTTCTCTGCTATATTTAACACTTCATCAGTTATTATTTGTCGAAGTGAACGAGTAGATGTCCTGCTGTGTTGAGGTGTTTTCATCAGTCCCTCAGAAATAGCTAGCAGCATGCTAACCGGTTGTTTTCTTTTTTGTGTTTGTGTTGCAGGCGGACGCTAAGATGGTGTGTGACGTCGTCAGTCGTATGGAAGACACAGAGCCGTACTCTGCTGAGCTGCTGGGCGCCATGATGCGCCTGTGGGCCGACTCGGGCATCCAGGAGTGCTTCAGCCGCGCCCGGGAGTACCAGCTCAACGACTCGGCGCAGTAGTACGTCCATGTTTCTAAATCTGTTCATGTAGAGTTCTACAAATCAGACGTTAGAGACTCACTGAGGTTTGGTTTAAGGTTTGTTGATACGAGTTTCTTCTTTACTTGTGAGCGCTTTTTGGGTGATGTTTTACTTCCTGTGGTTGCCTTCTTCTGAAACAGTGATTTTGATTGGTTATTCTCCTGTAAGAACTTTGAGCAAGCTGGAACCCCTCCTCACCTGTGGTGGCGCTGTATCAACAGCCTCTGAAGAAAACGGCACTAAAACCTCTGAGGAAGTCAGAGGATTGAGCACAACTTTCTTGTTCATGAAGTGTAAACAAAAATAGAGTGGTTTCAGATTTTAGAGGTCTATGAAATCTCTTTTGTCTTTGGTAAAAGGTCATGATTGCATTTTGTGCATTCTGGGTAAAGCACAAGGCATTACCCAGAATGCCTTGTGCTTTAGTCCTTTTTCTGCTTTTGGAGCAGTCTCTGGTGTGCTTGACGTTCACATGCATTCAAATCGCATCAGACTTCACTCCGAGGTTCTGAGGCAGACCAGAATTTGCTTGTGTGGTCAAACAAACCAGATTTTCTAGACAAACTATCTACAGTTTGATAGAAGCGGATTAAACAGGGCTGATGTAAATGATCAAGTTACTGTGAGCTCGCTGAAGAGAATCGGCACCAATAATGAGGAAGAATCAGGAAATCTAGAAAAAAATGAAAACACTTCTGGTCTTGCAGAAAATCTCAATGCTGAGTAGTAGTTGGGATATTTTATCCTTTGAAAGGACTAAAACTAAAATAAGAAAGAATAGTTTAACCTGCCTGCAGTAAATCATATGAACAATGTAACCAAATGTCATAAGTTATTCATCTCGGTTGTGGTTCGTTGTCTAAGTTTTTTAGTCTGCTCAGATTTAATAACTGCTAGTTGGACACAGAAGAGCTTGTACACATTAAACATAACTTTGCTGTTTGTAGCAGAACCATTTAAAGGTCTGACTGTTGAAGTCATCATTAACTGTTTTGTCGTACAGTAGCATATTTTTAAATCACATATCAGATTTCCATAAAAGAAAATTAAAGGTTCAAATAAGAACAACAACAATAACTACAACAAAGCACATCTGTCTTTGTTCACATCTTTTCTTCTTTCTACGCCTGTTTTAATTCAATTCCTGGTTTTCTGCAAATCTCAGACCATTGAGTTGATCACATGTCCTGAAGCCCAGATCATTTTATTCGTAACAGGAATCAAATCAGGAGAAGGTAGAGTACGTGAGCAGAGAAGAGATGAAGAACATAAATGCATTTTTGAAATTGGTGTCCTCTTTTTTTAAGTGGAGATATTATCACGGAAGAGTTTCAGCATCATTTTGGGGTAAAAGCCAATAAAAAGTGGTGAGAACTGATGTCCAAACTGATAGTGAACTCAGACATGAACCTTTTAGTTGCAGCTTATTTATCGCTTTGTATGTGTGTTAAATGTCACATTAAAAATTGATGCACACTTCCTATTATATTGTGGCCTGTGCAGCCAAGCAGAGTGCCCAGCCAATGAAACGACAGGACAGATATCACATGACCAGACCACACAAACTGTTGTTAAGTGTGCGTTTGTGCATCATTCCTGAGAAACCCCAGAAATCTGATGATGTTTCAGCTGTGGTCAAAGCTTTCTGCTCTTTTGGAGACAAAAGCAGCATCTCTGTGCATGGTGCAGGTTTTGTAATCACACATGCACGTAATGCGTGTTTTTATTCCATAGAAAGCAGAGCGCTGCTGTGTGAAAGGAGTAGGTCCCGCCTGAAGCCACCTCTGTGTGTTTGTGTGCAAAGGCCCTGAGTGTTTTCTGACCTATTTACCACAATGCACATACTGTACACTCCATCTGCGATTTACATTCCTGCCTATGTGACACGGCCATAATTTAGAAAGGCGATCACTCAACATGCACATACGCACACTGAGAATGATGCCAAAATGCCACATGAGGTAGCTAAATTCTGAGTTGGCAATATTTAACAGTCCATGCCGAGGCAAGAAAACATGCACTTTGAGTTGTTTTGCAACAGATTTTGAATTAGACTTTTTGTTCAGAAGATCCACTTTAAATGCAGCAGTGCCTCTGATTATGCTGCAGCTGTAAATTGGTGTAAGAAACTTTAAAATTCTTTTTGGTTTTGTTTTTTTTAGAAAAACCATCATTATATCCCTCATTATGGGAAATAGCTTTGCTCTCCTTATCCTGCTTCCTCTGCTCAGTGACGGCAGAAACCTTTTTTCTTCATGCTGCTCTGTGGTTTTATTATGTTACTTTCTGTCAGCCCTGCTTCTGAAGAAGTCACAAGTAAAACTGTGTCAGTAAATCACAGCAGAGGGTGGTATCTAACCATCCCAACACTGGTTACTAAGCAACAGCCATAAATTCATTCGACTGTGGTGACCTTCTTTTAAACAATTATGTAAAGAAATGTCACATACTTGGCCCTGAAAACAGATATACCCCTACAGATTGTTTTTATTATTTTAGGCAAAATAACCGGAGTAAATGTAAAATGGAGTTTCTAAATGATGACTTATGTATTAAAAGGCGAATCTATCCAATCAACCTGACCGTTTGTGAAAATATTATTGCTTCCTTGTTACATCATGACTTAACTTTCATGAGCCACATTTACTGTCAGGTCTGATAAATCATGAAATCACCTGAGAACATGAAGTAGATACAATGTCTCAAAAGGCAGCCTATGAAATCCTGGTACAAAAAAAAAAAAAACTAGTGCTGTCAATCAAATTAAAGGGTTAAAAAGCTAATATGAGGTTTCTTTAGGCAGCTCCTGCGTTGGAGGTGTAGCAATACGAAACATGTCTATTCATTTTTTTTTTTTTTTGCACAAAATGATTCTTACATGATGAGATTTTTGTTCTGCGTATTGTGAGCTCCTTGCAGAATGAGCCGTTTTAGGGCCTTTGTCACTTTAAATACCATTAAGCTGCTGCTGTTCATGCCCCCAACTCAACATTTACACTTGCATATTAAAATGACTAAAAACAAATGCCCAACTATATAACCATGCATCTTCGAATGAAGAAAGTGGTTTTTGAACAATTAGTCAACAACAATTATTATTATTATTTCCAGCAGCCATTGTACCACCTGACCTGATGACCTGAAGCTCAGCTGGGGTTGCTAGGTAACGGTGCAGTGCCTGCTGATTTGTGACGTTACATTCTGGAGGTTTTGGACAAATTTATTTTTCCAGACACCAAAAAACATGAATTCATATCCCAAAAACAGTTGTGTGTTTCTGGACTGTTTTTAGAAGCAGTAGAAACCCAAATGGAAGTACAACAATGCGCAAAAAGCGAGTTTTACATAATATGTCCCCTTTAAACTCCTCTGCTTGAGGCAGAGACTGACCCCCAGCCCAGAGGTGGGCGGCTCTCATTCCAGCCACTTTACACTCACCAGTAAACCACTCCAGTTCACACTGGAGGTGACGCCAACAGAACCGCATCATCTTTGACAAGCAACAATAAGACCCTGCGGTTCCCAAACCAGACGCCCCCTTCTCCACGACGACACCTTGAGATGCTGTCCATGAAAACCACAAACAGGATCGGTGACATAAGACAGCCCTGGAGGAGTCGATCAAAACATATAACCAAATAAACACAGAACTGGGTCAGGGACAAAGTCAAGCTTCTCAGTTCAGATGCTGTAGAGAAAAAAGAGCATCGGAGAGGAAAGAGTCAACCAAAATAATCTGGAATAGTTCAAATAGTTTTCTGAAAGCTTCAGCCATGAGAACTTTTAATATATACAGAGCGGTTGGGATCTTTCCTATACCATACATGGTAGACTCCTCCAAGTCAGAGGGCAGGATGTGGACTGTTAATGATTATAGAAAATTAAACTTTGTTTATCCAAATGAACATTTATTAGCTTTTGCACCAATTGGCCGCTCATCTTGAACAGTAACAGCCTCTCTGGGCTTTAAATCCACCACTCTTCTATAATTCTGCACATCACCAGTGAAATGAGGCGAGCACACTCAGGGGTCTGGAGTTAATCAACTTAATGCGCCATGTTGAGAAATATCAGTCTGAGAGGAAAGACTAATGCAGCAGCTGTGCACATACTATATGTCATCCAGAAACCAGACAGAAAACTTATCATCCCTTTCCAGGCTGCTTTAAATGTAATTTACGTTGCTGTCTGTGTGTGAGTCCTTAGGCGGCCAACGGTGCTGTGCACAAAATAATGTTGACATGAGTGTTAGTGCAAGTTCAGCGCAGCGAGAAGTGGCTGCAGGGTGAACGGCAAGCAGAAGCAGCAGAGAGGGGTCAGCCGCGTGTCAAAGGAAAGGTCGTGAAAGACAAATGGATAAGTCGAAACAATTACTGACCTTTGACTGACCTTTCTAACTCAATTATCAAACAACTGGAGTTGTAGAAATAGACTGATAGCCTTCATAGTTACTCCGCTCACTGCAGTAGATGGAAAGAGGAAACATTTCTTACATCTATTGTTGTAACTGCCAGGGTGAGACACATTGTACAGCGTCTTGCAAAATTACAAAGAGCTCTGACTTTTTCATGGTTCAGAGTTTCACTAGCAAACAAACAAACATCTGCATGAAGACTAAGAAACAGCAGAAAGGTTAGAGAGAATGTTGTAGGTAGGGATTCACTGATCCACTTTTTTCACTTCTAGATACCGATACCTGAGGTTTATCGTCAGCTGATACTGATCCGATACAGAAAAACAGCTAAAACGTACATTTTTTTCAAACGCAGACATAAAAGCTCTGAATTGAAAATATATTTGGTAACTGCACAAGTACAGCTCACACATTAGCTTCACCTGCTTGGCCAAACATGTAAGCAAACAGGAGTAAATCAGCCAATGTAAAACAAATGACAAAGAAACTGAAACTGATAAAAAACAATGGATTTACTAAATTAGTAAAAATAAACTGCAGCAGTTTCTTTCTAGTGCTTTGCAAAGTGTGATTAGGAATTTTAAATATAATGTAAAATTAATAATAAAGTATGACATCACTGAGAGTACAATGCATAGATTTAGACCGAATAGATTTCATCTTATGACTCGGGAACATTGTCACTGACACCAGATCTAGAATATTTTTTCAATATCGGACAGATACAGATATTAACAGATCGGTCCAATCGTTAACTGGAGAAGTTTAATGCAGAGTTACATTATAAAACAACAAGTGTTGAACATCAACCCTGTTTCATCCGTCATCTGGAAACAAAGAGAGGATGAACAAGCTGCAGTCCACCCAAACTGACAGACTGGAGCAAGGAGAGCGTTAATCAGAGGAACAGTCAACTAGACCGCCGTAATGCTGGAGGAGAGAATCTGTTGAATCAATGACTCATCAATCTGTTGTCATCGTTTGATTAGTCTCAAAGTTATAAAAGGATGGCAATAAGAAAGCTGCTGAAAAGTTTGACACAAGCTTGAAACAGACTGAAACAGGAGGCAGAAGTTACTCTGCTCAGCTGAAAACAAAATGAAACTTCTTGGCCTCCATACAAAACAAATCATGGGAATATTTTTAAAGTTCAGACCTAAATCCTTTTGAAAGATTCTCAGTAGGATTTACCAACAGCTTTTCTCCTCAATCTGACTGAGTTTGAAATATCTGGTAGAGGGAAATGGGAAAACGTTTCAGTCTCTAGATGTGCAGATCTAGCAGAGACGCATCTCAAACACTTACTGTCATATTAGCAGTGAAGGCTGGTTTTAGTAAGAATGGAGTTAGGCAGATTGAATACAAATGTCTGCCACACTTAGCGGATTTACACAAAATACCAGTAATGCTACAAATGCTTTGCTCCAGACTCTATCTGTGATAGTTTAGTGCTTTTGACACATGATAAAGGAATATTCTTCAGGTTTTTGCCACCTGAAAAGTCTCTGACAATAAAATTCTTCTGATCTGGCGTCAGAGGCCTGGATGGATTTCACTACTTGCAGCTTTAATTTATTCTCAATTCTCTTTTCAATTGAACTCCTCTTCCTTCTGTTGCATTAATGCTAAGAATGTGTGGGTTGTTTGATTGCCTTGTAATCTAATCATTGCCATTTCACTTTGTAAATTGAAACCTGTCTCAGCATTGAGTCGTCATTAATCCTGTCCACTCACACTCACTGGGAGCAAACAGAGCCCGCCTGTGTAGGATGTGGTGTGTGTTTGCGTTCATTTTCATTCCATAAAACACACTGCGGTTGCAGATTAATGCCCAGTTGTGCCTCAGGAGGTAAAGAGTGCTTTCTGCTTCTCGTTTTCTTCGTCTCCTCCTGACCAGCTCGTTATATTCTTCTTCCTTTTCAAACCACAATCTAAGCAATGTTTCCCTATAAAATCAATAGTTCTCATCAGTGAAGCTGTGTGTGTCTTCCATCTACCTTTTCTTACTCTGTCAACATATCTTCTCCCTCGAGCCTTTATCTTTTTCCTTTGGAAGTAACTGAGTGTCTGCTAGCCCTAAAAGAGCATCTCCAATCTAAAAATAAAAAAGCATTATATCCATTACGTTGGGAGGACGTTTGAGTGCGCATGATGCTCATCTCTTCTCTCAGTCCGTACTTCAGGGTTCACCTCTGCTGATGGAGAGCAGAGTGTTTGGTTGTTTGGGAGAAGTGATTTATGATTGCTTCCTCAGAAATCTTTAGAAGAAAACAGTGAGGCGTATGAGAGACGGATAAAACCTGATTGGTTGCGGAAACAGTTTGGGTCCTTTTAACCACTATTTAATTTTTAGTAATCAGTATTTTTGCTTATGTTGATCTAAACTGATCTGTCACTAGCTTTTTAAATTTGATCTTAAAGCTGCAGTGTGAAACTTGTTAAAAAATGTTTGTTCCATTCTTATTAAAACAGTCACCATGTTGTATGAGACAAGCTCCTCCACTTCCTCCCAGTGCCATTGTTATTCGAAAATGCAGACCACAAAAACAACCAATCAGAGCCAGGAGGAGGAGCTTAGCACTGTCAATCAACGTCCTGTCTGCGCTGCTCAGTGTGCTAATAGCAGAGAAACAGGGAAAACCATGTATCTGCCATCTGTGGTTATGCTAACTAGCCTTAGCATCCATGGTAGGTTATGTTGACATGAGAGTAGTGCCTTAAAAACAAAATAATTTAATATTAAAATTCAGTTCAACATTTAACAGGAAGCCAGTAAAGGCATGTAAACACAGGAGAGTGGCTCTTCCTGGTTTGGCCTGTTAGTCTGATGGACAGAAGGACTGAAATAAAGAGTCCTAATAAGGTGGGAAAACATGCTTTAAGCCATCAATCTACCTTAATTATGAAGAAATAATGAGCATGAGTTGAACGACGTTAAGAATCAGTCAGACCACCCAGACTGCTGCTCCTGGCCTGCAGACTGAACGATGTCTTACTGAAGGTGTTCATGACTCTGCAGACTAAACCTCTCCTGTTATTCCCGGTCTCTTGACCAGAGGCCTTCAGCAAGTTCCCACTAATTGAGGGTTCAAGTTTAATACGGGAAGTCTGTCGCTACCAGTAACCATGTGTATCTTTGATCTGGGGAGGAAACTTCTGCACTCTTTACACTCAGAGAAACAAAACCAGGCCAGAAAGTCCAGCAGAAAATGTTTTCATAATGCTACCAACGACAGGCAGTTAGCATGACGAGAAACTACTGCTGAGTATCACTACAGTAGCTGAAAGTGAGAGCAGCACTCCACACACTGCTGGAATGCATCTCTGCACGGCTCTGTTCAGGATCATTTGATTTACAGTAAAAATAAAGGTGCACTTCCAGGGATATTCCATTACACAACCTCATCCTCATCACCTCATCCTCCCTGCTTTTCTTCCTCTCTTCTAAACAAGCAGCTGCTCGCTGTGCTCACTTGGCAAGGATGTCATTTAGACATTCAGCTAGCTTAGCACCTACAGGAGAGGTAAATATGAATAATGCTTTTCACTTTAAAAACATTATTCTCCTTTGTGTGAAATACAATAAAGATGATGAAGCCTTTTCAGGTAAGATCAGCCCATCTGTTTTACTGCTGAGCCGATTTCCCCGGCATGTTGTAGTGAAGCTGATCTGCAGCCGGCAGAACCTCTGAAATAAGTACATTAACTACAGTTACAGTGACAGTAATGTAGTAGGTGGGAGTGATATTATCACTGGTATGTAATGTTACCTATAAACCACCTGAGCCATAATATTCATCACCAGCATTCTGATGTCATGGAAAGTAGGTTAGACCACCCAGCGTCGTTCTCTCTGTTTCATCTGCTTCACATCCACCAGCGTCTCTGGGATGTACAGTGAACATAATTAAGTCTTTTTTTTTTTTTGAGAAGGCTTTGACTGGACTAAAAAAATTAGTGGAAAACCAAAGAAAATTTTTCAAAGAGCTTCATAAAGTCTGGATACATTTTGATCAAGACAATTAGAAACATTACAGAAAAATCTGAAATACACACAAGTTTATGACATCATGTTGTAACAGAATGAAAATACAATGTAACTATCATGTACACATAGGGCTGGGCGATACGTTGATTTTATGGTTTTTGAAGATTTGATTTTTGGAAAACCTGAATTTTTTCACCAATGCCCTCATTGTGTTTCCACAACGTCCACCTTGTGTTTTACAGCTTCTATTTATTTGGATTTTGAATTCATGTCAACTCTATGATATTTCTTTTTTAAATATGAGAGTAAAGTCTGATTACAAGAAGACAGTCTTAGTAATATGAGAATAAAGTCATGTGACAATAAAATCAAAATGATGTGTTAATAAAGTCAGTTGATGTTGAATCTGCCTCAGTGCTCGTAAAAGTCTAATATTTGGGTTTGTAGTTCAGTTCAGTATCCGACCATAATTTGATCTTCTGGGCAGTGATCATCTGCTGCTGTTTAACATTTCCCCTCTGTGTGTGTGTGTGTGTGTGTGTGTGTGTGTGTGTGTGTGTGTGTGTGTGTGTGTGTGTGTGTGTGTGTGTGTGCGCGCGCAGTTACCTCGACAGCCTAGATCGGATCGGTGCGGTCGACTACCAGCCCACAGAGCAGGACATCCTCCGGACCCGAGTGAAGACCACAGGCATCGTCGAGACGCACTTCACCTTCAAAAACCTTCACTTCAGGTTGGGATGACCCACCTGCTCCCTACTCCACTCACACCGCAGAAACTCCGCTCTGTAATTAATTAGATCCGATGGTTTAAACAAGTATCTATATTTATGATTCTCTGGCTCTTAACGAGGTCAGATTCAATTAGAGCACAGAGCGGAGGGAGCGAGGGGCGAGGCGAGAAATGGAGTGGATGAGACTTTGTTATAATTCGGCTGCACATCATTTATAAAGCAACTCAAACATGGAGAGTGAGGGATTAGTAAACTGTTAAAGGGCCGTTATTTATCTGGATGGATGCATCATTATGCCTTTTTCTTGCTGTTTTTATCAACAAATCGAAGCTGTAGATGCATGGAGGTCGGTCACAGTAACACATCCTCTTCCATACTTGCTCAAATATGGAAGAGAATTAGGGCCACTGAAAAACTGAAAAAAAAAAAAAAAAAAAAAGGGAGGGCAAACAAAATATTTCAAACTAGGGGTAAAATGTTTTAAGCATTTCTCAGAATGTCGACTTTTCAACTTTTTTAAAGGGGAGTATTTCTTTAACGACTCATTTTAATTTGTCATGCGATTAGTTGATTTATTACGACAGGCTCAGATGCATGTTTGTGCTGCTGATCGAGGTTCTCCACTGAGCTGGCTGTGATGCGCCGTCGCTGTGTGTCTCTCAGAAGCACATCCTGCAGATTTCCAGCTGGGCTGCTATTATTGGTGGTGATGTGGGGAGTGGGAGGCTCCTCTGTTCCTGTAACGGGTGGGACCCGTCAGCCTGCCTACCATTAGGCCTGTCACACACACGGCTGGCTCCGTTTCTCTCCGGACTCAGGCCTCTCATTCCCAACACCACAAAAACACAATACAGTGAGGCTGGGTGATTTTCTGCTGGGGCAAAATGACGTAATGGATAGCATCTGTTGTTCAGACATTTTCCTCTCGGTTCAAACGCTTCATTTTAGTTATTCTTTAGCAATCCAACCAGGTTTTGGTTTTTCCAGCTAAGCTTAAATCCCTGCACTATAAAAATAGTGCATATCTGTAAATGGTTTTACAAGAACATTTAAATGAGAAAAAAATATATAATAAAATTAGAATTGCTGTAAAATTCCGCTTTTTTTTGTTTGTTTGTTTTTTTGCAGAAAATAAATCATGGCAACAATTTTGAATTTACTGCAGATTTTTTTCCTTAACCACATCCAATCATATATATATATTCAGGCTCAAATATATGCATCCACCTCCATTAATGTTGCGTTTAATGGTTCGGCTTTTAAGTTTACTCTGAAAATCTTCAGCAGGATTCTTGTTTGTGCCACTCCAGCAGCTTAATGTTTTAATGTGGAACACCTAACTGTGTCAAAGTGTCAAATAAACTTTCTCCTGCCCTGCAGGCTGTTTGATGTGGGAGGTCAGAGGTCGGAGAGGAAGAAATGGATCCACTGTTTTGAAGATGTGACTGCCATCATTTTCTGCGTGGCTCTGAGCGGATACGACCAGGTTCTGCATGAGGACGAAACCACGGTAAGAACGTGACGAGCCTGGGTTCGACTCTGGAAACAGCTAACACTAGATTAGCAACAATATTTTACATATCGCTTTATTTATAGCTGTTTTATCATTTATAAATGTGGTTTGAAGTCAAATAAATCCCCTTGAGCCAAATAGCTTTTTGTAACTTAGTGAGTTTTAACAGCTTAAACACCTGACAAGTCAGGTGTTAATATGTTTGTACGTTAGCGACATGTAGCCTTATTTTCATGTGTGACAAACTTAAAAAATATAAATATTATTGGTAAATAAAAAGGCTTATGTGAAAATGCTCCTGTATGTGGCTTATTCAGTAGTCAGAAAAAAATATTAAGGATAACATAAATGTGTTTAATAAATATTATTGAAAGGGGATTTTTGAAGCTGTCAGTCTCAATAGTAACTTTACATTGTGTAATTAATTTATCTGAAAGATGAACACAAAGATAAAATCTCAGATTTTCTATCCATATATATTTGAGTGTCTGCTGCTTTTCAGTTATTCCAGAAGAACCTTTCTGAAAATAGACGCGATGTGTGTTTTAAAGTGTTGAATAAGCCGACAGTAAACAGACGGCCTGTGGAAAGGCTTCAGACAGTAAAGGATAAATGTCTCCAGAATTTAGGAATAAGCATTTCGGCTACAGAGAACGCTTTAAAAAATGATCAAAGTTCATACAGAGCTGTAGCAAAGCCGTCTGATCACAGAGTAAACACTGCTCACAGTCCTTTTTACCTTAATGAGGATTTGCTGAGTATCTTGAAGGTAAAATACGTCATTACTGACCTAAAGCATCATAGCCTCCATTCAGAAATAATATTTGACCAATAAATCTCAGGGTAATTTCAGCTCTTTGCCACTTTGGACCCTCATTTTTCACTAAACCAGTGATTCTCAAATCCTAATCAGGCCCCCGTTCTGCTTTTCTAAACTTTCAAACCACAGAGCTTTTACATGTTTGCATCATTGTACACTCTGATACGGTAAACTGAATCCAAAATGTTCACATACTTCTACTTTTTTCATTTCCAATACATTTGAAATATTTTTTCTTAGATCATAATAAACTGAGGAATCTGTGAAGATTTTTTTTATTTATGTACAACAGGAAACAATGGACGTGTGAGCATTTAAATGGCAACAAATAGGTCAAGTTTCATTAGGTCAAACACATAGTCAGGCCCAGAATTATTCACGCCCACAAAATCATCCAAAAGTTTAAAGTCATACAAACACAGGATCATATTTTATTAAACAACCTGCCTACTTTGAGTCAATGGGTAAAGCCACCCAGATCTCCATGTAGTACGTCTGAAATGATGCAAAAGGCTGTGGAAAAACAAAAAAAATAATTATTTATACTCCTGGCAGACAATGTGTAAGAGCTGTCATTTTTATACAATTCTCAATATCCTTTAATGGAATTACTAATGATACGTGACCAGTTTTTTATGTTTCTACTCATATTTTTTGATTTACTGTTTTCATTGAGTTCAGAGTCCTTGACATTGGAAGGCCTCTTGGCCAAAACCCTAATCTTTTGCTCCATCCACAGATTCAAGCCGACTTACATTAATCGTACTTTCTGGTTTGAAGAAGCATGTTGGTTAAATTAAAGGTTAACTTTTAGTAAGAATCTGTCAGTAGCTGCGTTTCCTTTACAAATGTGAGCAACACTTTGTCAGTATTCCACTAATGTCGAAAAAACTAAACTTTGCAATTTTATTGTTTCTGTTTAAAAAGAAACACATTTGAATAAGTTTGTTCATGCAATAAGTCATTTAAAAATACGCGGCTCCATCGTCCTCCCACCACTTCCTGTTGTTGCCTTCATCTTTTCTGCCAATACCAACATCTTGTTGATCATGTGACTCGTGATGAGAATAAAGCATTTCCATTGCCGTTTTACAAGAGACACTAATTTCAATACAGCAGAGAAACTACCTCAAGTTAGCATGTTTCCATTCAACCAGTTAATTTGCACAATTTCAAGGTGATTGGAAGTGCAGCTAGTGCTGTGAATATGTTTTAAAGTCATTCGATGACATTTTAAACGGTAACGGAGAGAATCGTCGCCTGCAGTCAGCATCATTAGAATCCCAGGGTTGGTTCATAACCACACAGGGAGAAACAATCCATCATGGAGGAAATAAATAGAGAACTTTATTGACTCATTTAACACAGCCGTGTCTGTAGTTGTTAGACGTCTGTAAACTGAGGCACTTGCAGAGAGACAAAACTGTGAGGTTTTCACAGAAACCCAGGGACGCTTTAAACAGACCTGATCTTCATTCTGTTACCCATTTTTATTATCGCTAAGCTAGAAATAATGTAGGAGTTCTAATTTGCAGACAAATATTTCTCCTCCTGGCTCCAACCTTTTCTCTGTTTTACTACCAAAAGCCTCCAGTTCAGCAAAAATATTCCACAATTTGGAAGAAAAAGCGAAGGACCTCCCAGTAATTGGACCGAGGAAGCAACACATTACCCGATCCGGCAGCTCGTTAAACTCACTGCTCTGCTGGAGTTTTAATTAGCAAGCAACATTTCTTATATTGCTAATCTGCCTGTAACGGCAAGGAAGCAGTGGAAACATGGATTTGAATCCATCTTCACTCCTGGTTATTATTCAGTGATGAGTTCTGGTTCAGGTGTTTTCCAACCAAACAATTATACTGATTTGAAAATTATTTATTTTGGTTTCCATCTTTTTCCACAAATAAATTCTGAAAAGTTTGGTCTGCATTTGTTTTCAGCCCTGTTCAGTCCGCTTTAATTCAACTCCAGTCCGTTTAAAGTCCAGTTTGTTTGTTAAAGTGTGAATTAAAATCACACTCTGAAGAGCAACAAGACAGCGAACGCTGGTCCACCTAAAAGCCTCAGTTCATTTGAGGTGAACTCTGCTGTAGTTTCATCACATATGTGAACACAAAGTGAACCAGAGACCGCTCCAAAAGCAGGAAGTAGACTACAGCGCAAGGCATTCTGGGTAAATGCAACCTAGACACACACTAAAGTTCAATGCCAGCAAGAAAAATGGTTTATGGTCTTTTACCAAAGACAAAAAATAAATCCTATAACTGCTACAATCTGATGCAGTAGGTTTGTTTATGTTTTGTGAAGAAGGAAATTGCGCTCAGTGTCTTCTGATGTTTTCTGATGATGTTGTTTCCTCCAGTAGTTCTTGGTGCAGCGCCACAGTTAGTTTTTGGTCTGGTGATGTGAGAACCTACCAGAGGAATGTTTGCTGTGTTCTTCACATGGCTTCTGGTAAAATGTGACGCCTTCATAGAACAGCTGGATTTCTGATTCTGTTTGCTGATGAAGCTGCTCAGTATTTCATTGTTCAGAGTAAATGCAGCTGAATGCAAATCCAGACTTTTCAGATTTTTATTTCTAATAATATTTCTCCTACATCAGAATTTATACATGACTTTCAACTTTTTCAGCTCCCAGTAAAATCCAGTGTAGTTTTTGGTTGTAACATGACAAATTTGAAGGAATTGATATGATATTATAAGACGCTGAACTTTTCAGGTTAACGGTCTCTCTTTCCCAAAGCACTTTAGGATCAGTTAAAAGAGATATTTTGAGGCAGTAATAGTCTATAAACCATTTAAATCTTGAACCAGAATGTTAGATTTTAGCACCAGCTCCTGAAGCTGATATAACCTCCAGTGGGAGGCAGAGCTGCAAGCTGTTAGCTGTGCTCAGCCTCCTGTCTCTGTATTTCAATAATTAGACTCATAAAAGGAACATTTGCATGCAAACAGGCTGAACTTTAGTCAAAGGGAGGTGTATAGTTTTATAATGTCAAAACACCTGTGAAAGGACTTGTGGGTAAGTAACAGAGCTGATGTGTGTCACAGCACTGGAGAGCAAACTCAGCTGAATATTAACTTAGTGGATTAGTCATCTGCTGTGCAGAGCAAAAGTATTTGCTTCCTTTCATATGTCTGCTGTTTTTTGTCACACTGAAATATTTCAGAGCTTATAAAAAGGCTAGTTTCAAAGAATATTTTCATTTATTTAGGGAAAAGCTACTTTCCTCTGTTAAAAAAGTAAGTGCCCCTTCAACCTAATAGTTGCCATAAAGTGTTTGTGATAACTAGGAACTAGTCTTTCACATTGCAGTTTTGATTCAGCTATGCAGTTTTGTTTTGTTTTAGCGTGGTTGTTAGTCAGACTTTGACTAGGCCATGCAGAGGTGGATTATTGTCTTACTGTATTAGATTAACTTAGACAACAGTGAATTTGGTCACTAAATGTTGTTACTTGGCTACCAGAGTGCAAAGGAAAAACACTAAAAACCAAAAACTCTTGTGTTATTGTTTTTAAGTTCTTAAGGGGAAAGTTTTACTCACAAAAATCAATGTGTGCCTATTTTATCAAAAACATTAAATGTTCAACATCTTGAGAAATGATATTCACAAGATGAAGTTGTTAAAAATTATCATCTGTTTCTGAATGAGACAAAACTTGTTAAAGATTATTCAGCAAACAGATTATTCCTTTTTCAACTTAATTTTTGTATTACATATTTAAAAAAGAAACAACTCATACAAATACATTGCACAGATATGATATTTGTGAGGAATATGATAGACGGAAAGTTCTAAAGATAACAAAACCAAAAAATTCAGGTCACATCAGTATCACAAAAAGGAGAAAAAATAATCTTACCTAAACTTACTTAGTTCATTTTGAGTCCTTTTTATATTTAGCTTTCGTAACAAATATAAAAACATGTCTTCCAATTTTTATAAAATTCTTACATGTTAATTTATTGAATCTGATCCATTTTATAAATTTCTTTAATGATTCTGTTGTTGGAGGATCCTTATTTTACCACCAGAAATGAAAACCTTTCACTCCAGAACGTTTTGAGCTGCTTGGTTTTGTTTTCTCTGTTGGGAAAGGCAGTAAAAGCTCCTGACAGGCTCCGCCTCCAGCTTCTGACTGGTTTCCCATCAGTGTCTGTTGGTACAAACACGCCCTGCACCACTTACTCTCTGTCACTCCCTTCCTTCTTCTTCAGATGCGCATGTACTGTGTTTGGTCGTTGCTCCTCTTCATCGTGTTCTCTGAAATGACGACTGCTCGTTGTGAACGCTGCCTTCCTGCCCTGTGAACACTCTCTCTGCAGCACCGGATGTGTGTTAGCATTAGCATGTCTGGTTGAGGAGGGGAGGGGAAGCGGACGCGGGGGGCGGGTCCCTTGCGTTTTTCTGTTCCTTCTCTAAGCTCCGCCCTGCAGCATCTCTGGCTCCTTCTACTCCTCTTGTCACTGTCGCCACCGACTGTCCTCTCTAACCAATCAGCTGTCAGATGCAGATGCTCCACCCACAGCCAGGTATGAAAACCTCCAATAGGTCGACACACTCACCTTAGCGGCTGGAAGCAGGTCCTCTCTGTGTTTGCTGTTTCCTCTGTTTTATAGCTAGAGATGCACTGATCCCTTATTAATATCGGTATCAGTCCAGATATTGAAAAACATTCTAGATCGGGTATCGGCGACAATGTTCCCGATCCATAAGGGCAGATCTATTTGGTCTAATTCTATGCTTTATTATTTATTTCACGTTATGCTTACAATTCCTAGTTGCACTTTCTGATCCATTTGGAAGAAGATTTGTTGGAGTTTATTTTTACGTTTGACCAAGGCAGTCACCCTGTTGTTCAGTTTCTTCATTATTTATTTTACATTGGCTGTTTTACTCCTAATTGCACTGACTGAACAAATTAAGGTTGTTTTTACATTTTTGACCACGCTTGTGAAGCTGTTGGTGTATTTAAGTGAGCTGTACTGGAGCAGAATTATCAAATAAATTCCTATTTTAGTATTTTTAGTAAAAAAAAAATGTTTTAAGTCAATTCAGCTGTTTTTCTGTATCAGATTGATAAACCTCAGATATTGGTATCGGAAATGAAAAGCTGCATCTCTATTAATAGATCTCTCTTCTTCCTTTTCCTGGTTTGTGAAACTCCAACAGTCGTTTCTCATGAATCTGGTCGATGGATCCCATCGATCTCTTTCTCCTCAAGTGAATGTTGGATCAGAACCAGAGAGAAACTGCTTTCAGCTCACAGTTTGAAGGAATCTGTCTGTTCTCATTACCTGTCACATAAAAAAACACTGAAACAGCTAGTTAGTTTTCTCCTTAATCCAACATTTATTTTAACGCATTGTGAATAATTAGGTGGCAATGATTCACCGAAAACACAAATTAAGCATGAGAAATTTTGTAAAAGGAAAAATAATCAAGTGTTCTGGTTTCATGTAATAAACAAGGTTTGATACTAAATAACCAAAGCAGCTGCAACATTAATTTAGCAGCTTTTACATCTGCTCTTAATGTTTCTTCTTATTTCTACATTAGAACCCTGTGGAGTTATCGTTGTGATCATTTAACTACATGCAGTTCTGGTTTGATGTTTTCACCCACTCAGCATCACCGTCATGTTATTATGATATTTGATTTATTAAATTGTTCCTTTTTCAAAGTGAGGTGATTAGGCAACATATTGTGTAATAAATCCACAAGTTGGATTTATTACAGCAGAAGGTTAAAATTACACACAAAGCCCCAATCATATTCGGTCTCCTATAAAGTCTCACTGTTTTTGTAGTCAAGAAGGGATTTCCCACCTCTCTCTTTTTTAATTGTAGTGTTTCAAAATAATCCCAAAGCATTAATCTTCCCAAAGGTTTATGCTTTGGGAAGACATTTCCAGAAGCTGGAAATTCACCTTCTTCCTTCCAATAACTAGTTTTGAACAAGGAGGATGACTTCCATGTTTTTATTTCCTCTTCTTCAACTTTAATTGAAGATATCTCTTAATAAGAGCCTCAAAATAATTTTCCATTCGTATTAGTGAGTCCTTGATGAGTGGGTGCAAATTTGACCATTTTGTGAAATACTTGTTTATTCTTAAATAATTATAGTTATATTAACTTTTAAAAATGTTATTATTTTTAATAGTTGATATTAAAAATGATTGCTTTCATCTTGTTAGCTTCCTGTGGTGCATCCACAGGAAGCTAGTGAAGGGATGCATTCATCCCTTCACTAATTACTGGGCTGATTCATCTTCAGTTGACAAGTCAGGTTCAATCAAACTGTTGTGACATGAGGGAATTGTGCTCAGCAGCGCCCCTACTGGTGAAAACTTCACAGGGTTCGTTTAGTTTAGCATGATGCAGTTAGAGCAGACTCTAACACACAGCTAACATCTCAACATGCATGGCTTCATTAAGCTCACTGCCAGTGAGTCTTACTAATCATTTCTGAATGTTGCATGCTGATAAAAAAAAATGTTAACACGCACACAAACTCAGATCACAAACTGTGGTTTTACGAGGAACTCCCCCAAACTTCTGTTCTGCTTTTTGGTTTTAGCTTTCATCACAGTTCCTCCTTTAGCTCAGATTACGTGTCGTTTGCACACGTCATGATATTCTGCAGTTTGGAGTTTTTTCTCTGAGTTCTGTCCTGTTTGACATGATCTGATGTCTCTCCTGCAGAACCGCATGCACGAGTCGCTGAAGCTCTTCGACTCAATTTGTAACAACAAGTGGTTTAACGACACTGCCATCATCCTCTTCCTTAACAAGAAGGACCTGTTCGAAAACAAGATCATCAAGTCTCCGCTGACCATCTGCTTCCCAGAATACACCGGTACATCCTTCACAGCGACTCTTCCCTTTATTCTGGATTCTGGTTAAAACATTAGAAAGTCACCAAACCGCCTAACCTCTAGAAAAAAAACCCAGACAATCCCAATCTTTGGGCTTTTGCTCAACTATTTTGGGAATATTTTTTCAGATTTTATTGACATGAACCATCTTAGCATCTGCTGCTTTATTTATTTTTTTCACACGCTCAGCGTACAGATATTAATCACAAATATGAGGAATAAAAATAAAAGATAAAAGGAACAACATTTATGCAATATTACTGTGCTATAAAGACAAAGAAAATCTGTTAATCAGGTGAATTATTTCTTGTTTTATTGACATTATTCCCTCATTATATAAAAAAATAAAAAGCTTTCTCTAAAATCCAATTTTTTTTACAGAAATGAGCTTTTAAGTTGCCTGCAGTTTTCAGTTTAAACCACTAGATGGCTCTCCATCCTGGCAACAAGACCTTTATTTCTTTGTGAATTTTAATTTAATATTTTGGTTCATTTTAAACAGTTTGCCCGCAATTTATTTGTAGATATTTTTTTGTTTGTTTTTGGATGCTAAAATTATTTTCTCTTGATTACATGTACGCATTTACGATAACATTAGTCCTAATAAACTAAGACTAATTAAGAGCCCAAATGAAAATCAATCTTATTGAGCAGGTAGTTGTGAGAAGTAACATTTTGCTAAATAATATACTTAAATTTCAAGTATGAATTTTTCTGAAAGCAAAACCTTTAAAAATTGAAATTAAATTTGAATTATCTTTTTTCCTTACTTTTCTACAACTAATAAAAGTCAACAGTAATCATAGTGGCCATTTTACCCAAAAAGGAGGAAATATTCAGATAAATTTTAGACAACAGAGCTGCAGGTTCATCCTACCAGGGATGAAAGTTACAGAGAGCAAAATAAGGAAAACAGCAGAAGAAAATGAGATCAGGGCTTCCAGGGTCCAAACTTCCAGGGCCTGAGTGTGAGTGAGACAAGAGAAAACACGAGACAAAACAACATGAAAGCGCCTGAGAGTGGGAGGAAAATTAGGAAGAAAAAAAACTGTGGGAAAAAAGGGTACAGAAAGACAAAAAGCAGCAAGACTGTGAGAAAGAAGGGATTGGGATTCCAAAGCTGTTCCTTCCCCTCTTCCTCCCTCCCCACTAGCTGCTCTCTGACCAACTTCCTGCCGGAGCAGACAGGCAGCGGCTGCTGATGGCCTAGAGCCACCGAGACATTGGACCAAAAATGACTCCAGTCTCTGAGTTCAGACTCATCCCAAAAGCACGAGAACAAAGGAAATCGAGCCAAGAGCTGGCAGAAGGCGGCGCTCGCCCCAACGGCTAATTATGAACTGGACCTGAAAGGAGCCACAGTGGATTTGGCTCCGGCGTTAATCTGATCACCACACTCACTGTACAAATAATGGCTCCAGTGTTTTTAGCTTCAGGTTGTCAGAACTGTCAGAGTTTCGTTCTGTAGCTGCTGGTTATCCAGGAGAAAGCGCCGCACTGCAGCAACAATAACGGGACGTATTAATGTCCATCACTTTCCATTTACTGGAGCAAACTCACAGCTCCAGTTTGTCTCAGAAAGTTGTCCGTGCATCACGTTTATTAAAGCGCGCTGGCATCGAGCTCAGCACAACCTCAGCACAATGTTTGCTGAGCTCAAGAGTCAAAGGTTCGGTTTTCAGAAAGAAAATCACAAAATAGCGCTGATGGAGGAAAAAACGGGGATAATGGGAAATAGGAGGCGGCTCACGGATCTAAACGGTTCGGATGAAAAACGCGTTAAAAGCTGCATCGTAACCGAGGTTATTAAAGTTATCAAAAATAAACTAAATAATTACAACCGAAACATTTTCATTAAGTGGGAGAAAACTAGCTGGGACTATATTCTGCATCCATTCCTAAAATATGCTGAAATTAGAATTACAATATCTTTTGTTTTTGTGTTTGTGTATTTATTCATTAGTCGTTCAAACTGACGTGAATTTTTTTTTTTCGTACAAGCAGTTTAAGTCAACTGTCAGGAAACGACAACACTCCTTACTTTTCCTATGCTAGTCCACAAAATGGCGGCTGGTCTGAAAAATGGCAACAGCAAAAGTTGGGGAAAAACGCCAGAGTCTGTTGTTCAACAACAATCAACTACATTTTGTGAAAACAGCATCTTCTGTTGAGTACTCATTTCCCTATCGATGTATCACAAAACAATACTGCAACCTTTTTGAATTCTGCACCTAAAAATTAACCAAAGTATGAAAAAAAACTAAAAGTAATAAAAACTAGAAAGTAACTGAATTGAACTAATTCAGTTTCAATTAAAAGTAACAGAATTAAACAAACAAAAGTCAAAACGAAATAAAACTAAACAAATTAAAAATCTAAAACTGGTCGTAACTCCTGCTTCTTGTCCTCTCCAGGTCCAGATAATTACGACGATGGGATTGCCTACATCAAGTCTCAGTACGAAGGCAAGAACAAGTCGCCCAACAAGGAGGTGTACTCTCACGTGACCTGCGCCACGGACACCAACAACATCCAGTTCGTCTTCGATTCTGTCACAGACGTCATCATAGGCACCAACCTGCGGGGCTGCGGCTTGTACTGACCGGATGCTTTTACTTCTGTGGTACCTTGTTATGTCACGTGTGTGGGGCCAATTCGATTGGTCATCCTGTGAGAGTTGGTCAAATGATGTCCTCCTTTACTACAGAGCAGACTGTTGGTCCAGCTTGATTTAACTCGTTGGTTGGTTGGCTGAAACTTTTTGCTGTTTAGTCCTGGACCACTGCCGCTGCGTACTGTTGTTTTTCTGACCTTACCTGACCCCAGTAATCTTATCCTAGCCCCTCTGTCTCAGGCCTTTATACCAAACAACGGTGTCCTGGTTCATTCTGTAAAGGGGCAATTGTGAGAAAAGCTTAACAAGTTTGTTAGATAAGCCATTAATGCATACATAGTGTTGTAAGAATTTTCCATTGCTTAATGCTTCATGCTATTTGGCCTCATATCACGAGATTCCTCATCAACCTCGTTCAGAATCCAACATGGCTGCTGCATTTGTAATCTTAGCTCCTATAATTACCTGATTTTTTTGCATTACTGAATTTGCATTTCATTGAATCAGTCGCGCACACAGTACTCTGCTATCTTTGTTGCTACGGTGATTGAACACAATAGCAAACCAGAAAATTGGGTTGTTTTGCTACCGCAGTTAGCTAGTCTCTGAAGACAAACGTAAGCTAATGTCTGTGGTTTTAATTGAACACACCTACATTAACTATGTCTTTATATTTTTGGATTTTTTGTGGAATGTGACTCCAAATTATTCAAAAGAAAAGCTTGAGCAGCTAAAATACCTAAATGTAATGCTCACTGACATCGTTTGCAAAGCATCCAATCCTATTTTTCCTTGACACAGATTAGCTGTAACTCCTGAGAGCGGAAATGAGGAAAATGGTTGATGTTCTGCAGTAGTGTTAAGACGGTTTCCATTGTCTGTATTAATATATATTAAGGTATATTTGGTGTTTGAACTTTTAAAGTAGGGAGTTATAAGCATTTCAGGGGATGTTTTAGTTATTCATTGGTGGTTATGGTCTATATCGCTTATGAATAGCAGGGATGCCACACTTTTCTCTACGCTGTTTTCTGCTTAGTGACAAATAATATATTGTTTGGATATGTAGTATTTTTTACCGTTTTTAATAATGAAAACCATTTTTGCCTAGTTTTTCCTCTGGCTTCTGATATGAGACATAGGACCTGAGAATCAACCACATTTTAAACAAAGAACATTATTATTAAAGATCTCACCATGTTAACCGAAAGTAAATACTTTCAACTCTAACATTCCTTATTACATAATTATCAATTGTGTGCTTTTGTTTTTTATTTGTAGACAATTAGGATGTAAATGGAGGAAAACAGGATCTGAGCTGGGAGGAGGTAGCATCATTGCCTCATGTTGCAGTGTGAACGACTCCATTATGAAACCACTTAAAACAAAGGGTTAGAAAAGCTGACTCAGCCCGGCAGCTACCGATAGTGGCTGGATGGGCGCATCGATTTCAGCCCGCCCTGAGACTACAGCCATTATCTGAGGCTGCTCTCTGTAACAGTCCTGCTGTCCGCCGTAAAAACACAGCTGAGCTTTGGGAGACTGAAACCTGGAGAGAGTGTATGGCTGGGGTTTGGGTTCAGATTGAAGAAAAGATTATTACATGAAGGTAGGAGTGGGCGTTTATCACATCGTTTATCATTTATCGTGATAAAATTCCAATTGATATCTATTACCTGCGTTTCTCATCGGCCATGCAAGATGTCAAAATAACATTTTTTTATGAAAACACCACTTCTGCAAAAACTCAACTTTCAATAAAAAGATTTGGCGCTATGAAGTTTTTTGGTAGTATCAAAATTGGTTTATTTTTCAGAACTGCAATGGAAAAGTTTTTATGCATCACGACTCACGTGATCAACAATCGGATGTTGCCACTGGCAGAAACCACGAAGAAGAAGACGACAGGAAGTAGTTGGAGGATAATGGAGCGGCCATGTTTTTTTAATAACTTATCACATGAACAAACTTATTCACGTGTAATTTTAATTGTTTCTCTTGTAATGGAAACACTGCAGTAGCGATATTCGATTTTTTTGACATTAGCGGAACAGCAACAGCTTTTTGCACATTTATAATGGAAACATAGCTACTGTCAAAATTGCTCTTTTTACTATTTTCTCCATTATTCATTAAGAGTTTTGATAAATATCCGTATGTTTGAAAATATGATTAAAAGCAGTTAATGTGGGCATTTTAGTAATAAAAATCACACTTACTGATAAAAGTCACAGCCATACAGTTACCAATTAGAGAAGTTCTTATCGTCACTTTTATCATTATCACAACAGAACCACAGAATATTGTGTTAAAACTTCAAGTCCATATTGCCCACCCCTACTGACACGGTGAAAGTGTCTGATGTGATACGTGCTTCATCACTCTCATCCTCTGCCTCACTTTTAAACAGGTAGATGACATCATCAGCTCATCTTTCCACATCTGCGCCAAATTTCCTAATTAGCGACGGAGAGCTCCCCAAGGCTGTTGATCGGCCTGCTGTGTGTGATTCTGCTTGTGGATTTTCTGTGTCTGTGTGTGTTTGCAGATTGCGTACAGTTAATGGTGTGTGTGTGTGTGTGTCATTTAACAGAACAGGAAAGGTCAGCTCACAAACGTGTGTGTACGTGTTGTGTTGGGAGACAGCATCAGCTCAGGGGTGCAGTGGTGGAGTCACTATCTGTGGATTAATTACCCGCAAGGCACCTGTCTACCCTTTACGCTAACACAAACACACACAGCAGCACAGGCAAGCGTACACACATGCACTGAACGCACAGAACGGCCCTGGGGTTTTTAAAATGTCGCCACACCTTCCTTTGCCAAATGTTCCCATCGTTTGCAGCTAAAAGCATCAGATGGATGCTGGTTGATTTGGCAAACAGAAAATCTGCTGTTTGTGTGTAAGAATAATGATGCACTGTGTTCTAAATATCTCTTGGTAGAATAGATAGTACAACAATAATTGTATTCTTGATTTTTTTTTATTTTGTTTTATTTGTTCTGTGCATTAAAACTATTTAGTAATAAAGTTCTCCTTACTTTTTTATGGAAATTACTTTCCATCTAAATCCACTGGGGAAGTTGCATGTTTTGGGTTCTTTTAATGGAAACTAAATTCTTGGGTCTCCAAATCCAGAGAATGCACTTTACTGGCAACATTTTTCATCAACAAACATTCATCTTGTTAAACTTTGCCTTAAAATTTTTGTTGTTGTTTAATCTCACTGAATTAAGCCAGAAAAGGTTATAAAATAGGATACTAGCAAACGAGCGCAGTTTATTAGTTTTGTTAGTTTTTTTGTTTAGTGCCTGACATAAAGAGCTGTCACCAGTTGGAGGAAGATATCCTGCTGAATCTTCCATGTACGTGACGTTCTGTAAGCTCCAGTTCACAGTGATAAAATAAAAGTCTTCATTTTTATTTGCCTCGCAGCAGAAAGTGACAACATGCAGTTTGAGCTCCATCTCCTCGATTCTGGCAGCACTGAATGACATGGAGGTGTTTTATCAGCTGTTCTTGATCAGTATTATTAATTTACCCCCAGTTGGTTCACAGCATAAACAAAATTCAAACCTAAATTATCTAATATGTGTTTTGTACATCTGTCTGTGTTTGTGAGCTTTAAGCATTTTGCATATTAATTGTTTTCCAGAAGTGAAATGTCTTTGCAGATGTCTTAGAGTCTCTGGTTTATTGGAAACATTCTGAAGTGACATGTGGTTAAGTCATTTTGGTTTACCTGCACCCCTCAACTTGGCTCCTATTGATTCCTTTGATTCCCAGAAAAAGCTTAAAGGTTTTTAAAACCTTTTGATAAATGGTTTTAAGATCAGGATGTACAGAAACATTATGCAGGAATCTTCTCAGAGTCAGATACACTCTGGACAAGGTCTAACAGGAAACCAAACATTGAACTCGTTGAAAAAAAATTCTATATATTCCTTACTTTTTTTAATATCCTGTATTTGCATTTCATTGCAGGGAAACATGACCTTTATACTCCAGTTGCTAGTTATCAAATCCGGAAATAATGTAACAATCAAATTAAACCTGTTTGAGAAATTTCAAAATGTTGTTGAGTAGCTTGCTTAAGTATCACTATTAGTAACATTTTATGAGCAATGTTTGTATGAATGATTTATTAAGATTCAAACGTTTATCAGGTCAAATAACCAGTTTGTAACTGTATCTGGTAGTTGGTTTTATACACACTGCAGCTATGTTGTAATTTGAAAGCAGGGTTGGTGAGAAACATTTGAGCTTCAGAACCAGAAATGCACCTTCTGATGGTCATTTCACTTTATCATCATCATGTTTTTAAGCTAAAGCTGCCGTCTCACTATTTCCTCTCTTGCGGTATCGGTTGGCGTCCTTTCTGGGTCTAAACATGACGAAAAGAAGCAGAATTATGTGTGACTTTTCGTGGAGTGTGTCTACTGGGATCAGTGGTGTGGAATTCACGTTGTTCTGCCTCGTCATGACTGGGTTCATTACCTTTCTACGATGTTTTGCTTTGTTAGGTGCAGGTACTGTACCTGTCAGGATTCACAAAAGTTCTGATATTTTCATTGTTAGTTTTATTCAGTAATTATTATGACTATTTTTAATTGGAAAAAAGCCTTCCATTGTTTAAATTTGAACAAAAAAAAGACATGTGAATATGAAACCTGAAAGACAAATCAAGATCTGATGCCTTTTACTGTCTTTAGCAATAACAGCTAAAGCAGTTTATGATTTACATGATTTACATGAGGAAATGGAGCAAAACATCCCAAAGTTTCCAATTAAAAGTTTATTAGTGAAAACCTTTGGGGAGTTTTCTTTTTACAGTTTATTTAGTCAGTTTTTTTTTTCCAAACATAACTTAAATGTATGTCTTTATAATAAATACAAGCCTTGAGTTTTGCTCATCTATACATTATAGAATGTGTAGAAAGTTTTTTCTGTAATAAACAGTGAAGAACCAACATTTCGTAGCAGCTTATAGTGTTTGTATTGATTAAACAGTGTGATCTGTTGATTCAGCTTGACCTTCCAGAACATCCAATTGTTTCCTAGAAATAAAGTACCGCACTGTAGCACTAAAGCAGTTAGGGGTTAATAGGATGGAAACAGCGCTGAGAGAAGAACAATGAGCCAATCAGTGTGTCTGTGTGTAGACGTGTGTGTGTTGGGGCCAAACAGCCAAGACCAAAAAAAATACTTGATCTTTGATAGTAAATATCTAATCTGTGTTGGCTACATAAAATAGGGATTTGTGGGTAATGTAGTTTACCTGTAATTTCTCAGTGTAGATCTTAAATTCAGATAAAAAATGCCACGTGGTTTCAGCAGAGAAATGGTTGCATTTGTGCCACGTTTTTCTTTGTTTGTTTTTTCCCTCCACAACAAGCTGCTGATATGCCACAGCGCTACAGATGAAGAACTAAAACAAAGTGCCAAATATTTCCCTGATTAGCTCCAGAGCAGCTCCCATCCTGACCTTGCTTACATGCCCTTATGAGCGATCTCCTGATTTTCAGTCTCACTTTGCCGTAATGAGCACTTAAGCCGAGGAGTCGCTCGCTCTCCTGCAGGAAGTCTCCCGGCTGCATTAGAGCAGATTTGACTCTGGAGCATCAACTGTGCCTTTTCTCATCACACCCATAACCCAGCTCTCCTGTTACCATAAGTTAACTCTGTCTCCATGCCAACCAACACTGTAAACACTGTCCAGGTACTGCAAAACCTGCACAAACTGTATATGGATGTGTATATACTGTATGTGTGCAAGTGCTAAACTGTTTGTGCTGTAACTCCCTTGCTGTTGATAATTTATTGAACATTGTATTTATACATGAGACAATGATAATAAAGCACCACATGAGCAACCGGAGATGTGTGATTATTTTCCCTCCTAAAATGTTTTTCCTGGATATCAAGGAGTTTATTAGTGTTGCTCTCGTTCTTCGCTTCTCTTCCTCCGATTTCTTTTTCTGGGTTTGTCTTTTTTTCCACAGCTGTAATTATTTATTAACAAAGGATTTCCGTAAACAAGTAAAACAGCCGCTAGTTTGAGTGTGAGACAAATGAGAGCAGCATAATGGCTGAGGAAAATGTTGAAGCATTAATTCTAGAGAAAAGTTTCCCTCTTTGTTCTCTCATCACTCTTTCGCTCTACTTTTAATATTAACTTGTTATTGTGTAAATCTTCACTTTTGTTGAGTTTCTGTTAACTTTGAAAATTTCCTCTTTTCTCATCTTCCCCGTCATCGTCTCGTTTTCCTGTGTGTTCCCGCTCCTCTCTCACCGTTTCCCCGCTCCTTTTCTTCCTCATCCGCAGAATCGCATGCACGAGTCTTTGATGCTGTTTGACTCCATCTGCAACAACAAGTTCTTCATCGACACCTCCATCATCCTCTTCCTCAACAAGAAGGATCTGTTTGCAGAGAAGATTAAGAAGTCTCCACTCAGCATCTGTTTCCCAGAGTACACAGGTGAGAGATATTTTTCACTTAAAGAGGCAGTATCACATTATTATATTGTTATTCCCTCATCAAAAACATACCTGGAGTGTTACCTTGATTCTTTCATGCATTTTGGAGAAATCCTTTAATCTCCATTGCAACCATTCAGCTGCAAAAAACGCGTGGTTGGACCTAGCTCCGCCTTCGAGACACATCTCCTCCTCCACTCAGCTCCTTCAGACTAGCCAGCATCAATTAGCAAACATCTGATAGAACTGTGCATCTGCTGAGCTCGTTATAGGAGTTACTTCTCAGAGCAACGCTGGTAAAAACATTAAAGGGTTAATAGAAGAGCCATGTTGTGATGATTTCTTAAAGGGATGTTGTCACATTTAAAGGCTTTAGGTCCTAAAATAAAGATTAACATTAAACAACAATAACAACAAATACAAAAAAAAATCAGTTTTCAAGTGATGATGGCATTTAGTCCAGTACTCCATGTAGAAAAACCTTAGACTGGGATTTACACCAAGGACCTTCTTGCTGCAAGGCAGAAGTGTTACCAACTGTGTCCCCAGAATTACAATTTTTAAACAATATGCTTTACTGTTATTATTAGTAGTAGTAGTAGTCGTCGTATTGGTGTCGTTGTTAAGGGAATATGATTTCAAGAGTAGCTGCCAGTTTTTATTTGTTTTTGGCAAATGAGCTACAACTTATGTGCAGGAGCAAAAACATTTGTTTTTCCTCCGGTCATCTTTCTCTGATTTTACAATATTTTGGTCACCTTAAACTTCTAAAATAAAAAATGAAAGACGTAAACACCTTCTTATTTACAGCACTGATTATTATAGAAAAGTTCACAGTTAGTAACTCAAACAGATTTTGAGCCGATCTTAAATTAATTCTGTCAAAAATTGTAAGCTTATAATATGGAGTTAAGAAATTAATTTTGACATGGAAACGCTTTACTGTCATCAGCATGTAGACATAAAGTGATGTTAAGATTGTTTAGGTTACAGTTTTCTTGACTTGAATAATTTTGAGATGATAAATGTAAGGCTTGTTTTAATTATCTCATTAGATTTAGTTTTCTAAATATGACCTGGAGTTTGTTTTTCATGTTAATGTTTCATTATCTCATTAGCTGGAGATAACGTTACCTTGAGGTTGTTTGTTTCTTTATCTTGAGAAAATAAACTCTCAAACTTATTATTGTTTCAATAACAGCTCGATTTTCTCATTAGAAAAAACAATATCAAGGTTTTTTTTATATTTTTTCTTGAGGCAACAGCTTTATTATCCCATTAATCTGCTGAAATAATGAGACCTCAAGCTTTCTTTGATGAGAAACTCATTCCATTATCTCCTGATCTGGAGATGTCGAGGCTTGAATTGTTGAAACAATATCTTTATTTCAAGCCTGAATTTATGACGGTCATGCTGCCAGCAGTTTCAGGCTGCAAACATTAAAGCTTCACATTCACAGGTTATGCACTAATCTCCTGATGGGGATCATAAAGAATTTTTGGGGGGTTTTTGCACCTTAATCACCACTTTTACCTTCCCAAATGATAAGTTCTTGCTTCTAGAAATGGTCACATCAAAATTATTAGTAGCTGTTTTTTTCCTGTCATACGTCTGTTTTGTGGTCAGCAGAACTTTTTCTGAGCATTTACTTTATAAAGTCTTTTTTTTTTTTTTTTGCTTTAGAAAAAAGGAATATGTTTAAGAGTCTGGTGGAACAAGCTGTTTTCCACATTCAGTTTTATGGGGGGTTTTTTTCATGCTTATTCAGCCCTGGAAAAACCAGTTCCATATTTTAAAGACTCTGGAGAAACAGCAGGAGGCGAAATGACCTCAGGAAGAATTATCCAAGTTTGGCAAAGGAGGATGAAGATGTCTGTATTGCTTAGGAACGTAGATAAATGATTTACTTTTTTAATGATTATCTCTGTTTTACAACAGAAAATGTTGATGATTTTGAACTAAGAAATATTTAGCAGGAAATTTTGGAAAGCTGCTTCCTGTATCTGCAGTGTTGGCCCAGTATAACTCCACTTCTCAAAATGGTTTGATTCTGATTCAGAATTTCTTACGAATGTAACATTGACTGTTTAAAACTGCTAAATAAATTGACCAAACTTTGAGCTGCATTCATCGCTTTTGGTCAGAGCTCAAGTTGCTGCTTTTATGTTTCAGCGGTTCTGACTGTCAGTGATGGTTTCATATTTCCTGTTGGGACAGAAAATCAATTTTCTCCAACAGCTTTTGGCAAAGAGGCAAACAAGCTCATTCAGCTGGAGTTACTTTGGAGATCAAACTCTTGACCTAAAACCTTAAATTAACCTTAAGATTGTTCAGTCAGAGAGCCGTGTGGACATCCTGATCCCATTTAAAACTGGATACGAAAGCATGAATGACTGATCTTTACTGTCTGAGTGAGATTTCCTGGAAATTAAAACCCTCAGGTCTGTTTGAGGGCATTAGTTGTGCATGGGACCTTCAGATGTGGATTTACTGTCTGCATTATAAACCGTCTGAAAAATGTGCCACTTTAAATCTTGCGGTATGATTACAGCTGCAAGTTAGTTTCCAGCAGAGAGAGGGAGAGCGAAATGGTTGGAGGAACATAAAACCTCACTTCAAGAAGAGATTTACTTTACTGCATTTCCACAAGTGGAGAAATGATAACGAGCACAGGGAGTTGAGGAAAGTTGTTGGCAGTGAGAGTCTGCAAAAACGGCAGAGGGAAGCAGAAAGACTTCTTGACGTGGAAGTGGGAGCCAGATGTAGTGGTGACGGATAAAAGCACTGTGAGTAATAGACGCGCGTGGTGAGCTATGATAAGTCTCTTCACACACTCACAGCGGTGCACCCGTCTCTCACGCTGCTCTGATAGTCACACTGAGCCGTTCTGACATCTTCCACCTTTACTTTTTGCTGCATCATATTCTCCCTCTCTGTCCAGCCAAAGGTCTGAACACTCCTCATTCTGATCACTGGAAATACTTTTCTGATTTCATTTTATATGACAGAAAGGCTGAGGTGGAGTTGGAGGGTTTTGCAGCCTTGCATCATTAGAGGGAAAGTATTATGTAAAAGTCACATATTGCACATTTTTGTACTTTCATTTGGGTTTCTACTGCTTCTAAAAGCAAACCAAGCACGTTTTCTGGAAATAAGTTAATGCTTTTTGGTGTCTGGTTTCAACCCCCTGCCCCCTCCCCAGAATATAACATCACAAATCAGCAGGAACTGCTCCGTATTCTAGCAACCCAAGCAGAGCTCCACCACATATGTTGAGCTGGTTTTACCGCTGTGCATTGTACAATGGCTGCTGGAAAAGACATGTTTTGTTGACTTATCACCCAGAAACCACTTGCTGCATTCGTGTTGGATGTGCAGGAGGCTCCACTTCTGCTTTTCAAAGATGTACAGTTGTACATCTGTTCGCAGCTTTTTTTACGTTGAGTTGAGGTGTGTGGCCAGCAGCAGCTTATTTGGATTTAAAGTGACAAGAGGCCCTAAATGAGCTCAAAATGAGTAGAACTGAGCAGACTAAAATCTTATTATCTAACAATGATTTTTGAGCATGTTTTGTTTAGACCATAGATCTATCCTAACCTGTTCAAGGATTCATAGTGGGTCACCTGTAACAGATTTTCACCAGTTCGCAAGTACTGTCTCAAGGCATTTTACAAAAAAATAATTTCGATTCAGTCATGCATGCGTCCCAATTTATCAATCAGAACATTATGCTCAGTTGATTATTCAGAATAGTTTTAAAAGTTTTTATTTAAAATCCCAGCAGATTGGATCGAGTCGGTGATTTGTAGCATTTACTCCTCCTGGATGTAGCGACTATCGCTTACATTGAGTTGTTGACTTTACAGTAATCCTCATACTGAGCATGAATGTAGCGACGGTGGAGAGGAAAAACTCCCCTTTAACAGGAAGAAACCTCCAGCAGAACCAGAACCATCTGACACGACCGACTGGAGGCTTGCGAAGACGGATAAGACACAGAAAGAAACAGAAGAACTGACCTAGGATTATTTTTCATGTTCATGAAAATAGAAAGTTAAAAGCAGGAGAACGATCAGCGGATGGCAGCATTATCTCAACTGTTGGTGATCACTTGTTCTATAAGTTGACTACATCAACATGCAACTGAACTGAGAGCAGCTTCTGCAAAACAGGCAGGTTTTAATGTAAAATCTGATAAAATCTCATTTAAATTGAGTATTTTTGTTCTGCTTTCTGCTCGTCCAGGACCCAACACCTACGAAGACGCGGCAGCTTACATCCAAGCACAGTTCGAGAGCAAGAACCGCTCTCCAAATAAGGAAATCTACTGTCACATGACCTGCGCCACGGATACGGGGAACATCCAGGTCGTGTTTGATGCTGTGACCGATATCATCATCGCCAACAACCTTCGAGGGTGTGGCTTGTACTGAGCGCGCCCACACACACCCTGGACCCCCTCCTCCCCCCACCACCACCCCCACACTTTTCTCCCATCCTTCCTGTCCTCTTCCTCTTTCTCCTCCTCCTCTGTCTTGTTCCTTTGGCACTGCTGTGGAAATGATGATGGCGATGATGATAATGATGATGATGATTCTCTAAAGAAAAACAACAAAAAAAATCCAACTAGGTACATATTAATAATGAGGATGATTTAAAAAAAATAGGCATACATGCATATAAATATAAATATATATATAAATCTATCTAATGTTCTTAGTTCTTGTGTCCTCTCTGCTCTGATTCCCCCTGATGTTTTTTTGGGTCTGTTGCCAAGCAAACAAAATTAGTTTTAGTAGAAAAAACCCCAAACCTGCAGCCTTGAAACATCTTGAACAAAGTTGAGGAAAGCCTCTGTTGCCGCTCCGTCACGTGGTCGACTGTGTGATTTTTTTTTTTTGTTAACAAAACTGAAGCCTGTACTTTTTTTTCTTGCATACTTTTTTATGTATTGTTACTTTGAAAATGATGATGCTGTTTTATTTCTTTGATGATCGTGTGTATATTTATTGCGTCTGTACACTGATTATTCTCACCTCTCACCTGTACTTCCTGTTTAATCCTGGTCGTTTTGGGCTGTTTTGCGGATTATTAATACTTTTTTTATTTGCAGAAATATGTGTATATGTGAGCAGCACTAAAATGCACCTGACAAGTTGGATAAGAACGTTAAAAAGAAATCTAAACTGACTTGATTATTTTTTGTTGTTTACATTTGAGAAGACATTTTAAGATGTTTTTTTTTTTTTTTTTTTTAGTAATTTTTAAATTTTTCACTTTAAAACCCCAGTTTCCACCCAGGATTCCTGGTTTCCTGTTTCCATAATCTGGTCTTTGTCATTGGCCAGCCGCTGACCACAGCCGGACTCGAGAGCCAATAGGAAACTCGCTTACTGACTGAATCGTCAGTGCCGTGTAACAGAGGCACTGTGCTGTAGATAGCTGCGCTTTTAGAAGCAGGTAAAACTCTACCTTCCTCCCCATAATAACCTAATAACATTCTCCATTTAAGAAAACTAATTAATTTATTAATTTATTTATTGACCAATCACCCGCCATCCTCTCTTTCCTCGCTGTCGACTCTTGCATGGCGCCCAGGCGTCGGGATTTGACCTTTCCCCCCTCCTGTCCTTGTCATTCTCTTCTTTTCCATTCCCAACAGAAATAGCATGAGATACTCAACTTTGTATAAAAAAAAAGACCAGATAATTGTTAAAACTTATAGCATAAAGCTGCTTATGAGGGAAAAAAACACTTCATAAAAAGTGCAAACTAAATAGAAAAACAATAAAAAAATAAATAAATGTGGAAGCAGCAACTGAAGGGGAAAGCTGATTGGTTTCTGAATGGGGGGTGAGGGATGAATTATGAGAATATGTCAGAAAAATGTGAGTTGAAGTTTCCGAGCAGGAACAGCTCACATGTGAAGCTTTGAAGTGAAGAAATGTTTAGATTTTTCCTGCAGCAACACAAAGGGCAAAAATCTCCCAGAGAAAAACCGCCTTCACCACGACACTGACCGACATCATGACGATTTCTCGTGATTTGTAGCTACGCAACGTTTTCTTTCTCCATTTTACATGAGCCGATGTTTGGTGGGCGGTTCCAGTCGGACAGCGAGCTGACGAGGAACCACGGAGAACCCGGTGTTGCTGTAATGCTCCGATCTGTGCCCTGTCCCTAAGCCCCGCCCCCAGGCCCAAGCTCCACCTCCTTTTACCGTTCTGCCTGTTTCCCTGCATTAGAACCGTCTCCTCACTTTAGCCTGACTCAGAACGATTAAATATAATATAACAATATCTATTTTTTATTATTTCTGGGGGGGATAAAAGAAAAACACTCTTTTTGTGGGGGAGAGCACGTTTCTGGCTGCATCCGCTAGTTAGGGATGCCGCATGTTAACACATCGGCGCTGTATAAAGTCATGCTCCTTCTTCTTCTTCTCTATCTTTTCAGTTTAGTGCACACCTTCCAGGTCTATAATGAAAAGCACAGTTCTCACCTCACACATACACACTCGCTCACACTCACACAGACACACAATGAGTAGATTTGGAAATTTGTTATTTATTCATACCTGATCTATGTTTCCCCCTCATCAATCTATCTATAGAAACTTCTCTTTCTTGCCTTCTTGATTTCTAGGTTTTAAAAAAGAGAAAACTGTATAATGACACGATGAAGCTGTTTTGTTTTTTTTTGCATTCTGTTCCTGTTATCCTCATGATTTATTTTTTTCTTACCTACGTTCTGTTCTTTACCCAGTGAATGCTGTGCAGCTTTTTTCTCTCTTTCTCTCCCTCTACTCTTCTTTAGTGAATGGTTGTTATTTCATGTGGGATGTCCGTGCTGGAAAAACCAATCGAATGTAGTGTTTACATTAAAAAGCCACTGTTTTCATGACTACAGAAAAAATACCTTCTTGTCTCTGGTTTTCTGACTTTCAGCTACAAGAAGCGTTACACATCGCTGTTTCATATTCAAGCTTCAAGCGACTGATTAGAAATTCTAGAGATGTGATCAAAAGTTTCCACCATGAACACTTAATACTTAAACCTTCTTTTTTCAGGGTGGAAATTATAGAAGGTACGGAGCAACACTTTTTAAAAGACTATTCTTTTTCTCATTTCTTCTCAAAGAAAAGAGAAAACAAGATAATTCTGGCTAAATATTTGATCATTCATTTGTTACCCTTTGAAGCCCTGAGACTCTCTGTAAACATGTATAACTGCCTAGATTAAAAGTTCAAGAATAAAATATATCTTAATTAATAGCACCAGAATAAAACACAGTGGAATCAATTCAACAAGTCAAAGGTATTTTCAATATTTGATTTTTCTAAAATCCCAAAGTGTGATTTTTTCTTTTTCCCATTGTTAGCAATAAGTACAATATTTAAAAGAAAAAAAGAAGTTATATTTTTGTGTAGGAAAAATATTATAGATCAGTTAATAATATCTGCCTTATTAAAAGAAAGGCATCGAGTTTGGAAAAAAGTTTGAGCTCTGCTGAAAAAAAAAATCTGTCATCAGCAATAACAACAATATATGAGCCACTGTTTTTATGAACACATGCTGCGATTAGCAAGTTCAGTAAGAAATTAAAAGGCATCAAAGTCTGCGTTAGAATAAAAATTACTGAACCGATGAGGTCCAGTTTTCCACAAGATAAAAGCAGCTGCATAAAGTTATTTACGACCAAAAGGCCTTAAATAACCAACGTAAGGAACTCTTTCCGTTTGTTTCTGCTTCTGACAGTAAAACAATCAAGTATAGTTCTAAATTGTAGCTTTATCTTGTTTTTCCACTCTTAGCTTAGCTTATTTTGAGAATAATCTCCAAAATTTTATATGAAAAAATTGAAATTTCAGAGTTTCAAAAGTTGCAAATTGTTGACTTCATATTACGTTTTACCATTTTTCTTACATCATTACTAAATTTTTGACTCTTCAACCTCAGCATAAAATTAACGTCCCAATAAAATATGTAATGTTTAACATTTGTTCCAAATAGTTCACTCAGATAAAACATTTAAATCTAGAGTTTCCAACCCTCAGCTGCAAAAAGCCTTGCGGAGCAGTTAGGAAGCCCCGCAGTAAATTAGAGGAATGCATCTCTGTCCCTGCAGAGGAAGCTTCCAGCAACAGCATTGATTTAATTTCATGTCAGACGAAGGGCGATAAAAGCTGAGAGTGACGGTGCTGCTCGCCGCAGAGTTACTGTCATCCAGCATTCTCCATTATAAAAAATCTCCTCGCCGTTTCTCACTGTTAAAAGGAAATGTGATTACTGTCTTCAGAAACGGGAGAAAGTCCAAGGTATGAAAAGTTTTTGTACCTTATAGTTTCATTAAAATTTTATTCATATAGCAGTTTTAAAAAACAGCACAGGACCACAATGCTTTGCTGTTAAAGCAGACTTATTATGCTAAATTAAAATTTTGAACACTTTTGTGCTTCCATTTGGGCTCCTACTGTTTCTAAAAACAGACCAAGCACCTAAAAAAACACAGAGTGTTTTTGACAATAATTTAATGTTTTTTGGTGTCTAGAAAATGAGCTGTTTCAAAAATCTCCCAAATGCCCATGACCTAGCAACCTCAGCGAAGCCCAGCCCGTTACCTAGCAACCCCAGCAAAGCCTAGCCTGTTACCTAGCAACCAAAGCAGAGCTCCAACACGTTTGGTCAGCTGGTTTTACCGCTGAATGCACTGCACAATGGCTGCTGAAAAGACAAGTGTTTTGTTGTTGACTTACCATCCAGAAACCACTTCCTGCAGGTAGGTCCAAACACCAGGTCAAAGGTCATTCACAGCACCACGCCATTCCATGTCTTTTCTCACAGAAACTCAGCAGTTTGGGGGTAAAGAGGTGAAGTATCACTTGCTTTATAGTTGTGACTGACATCTGACTCATCTAATGCTCGGTTTCCTGCCATTAAATTTGTAATTGTATCCTTACGTCTTCTGGTCTTCTCCACACAAATTCCTAAAGTGCTTCTTGTTCTCCACACTCTTACTGTCAACAGGAAATTGAATTCACTTACTCCTCCTCTGTTGGTGTATTTACAGGAATGTCCTACAAAGTACACTTAACCTCTTCCAGTGAGATTTATTACATGTACATGGATATCTATCTGTAATTCTGCAACATGAATACACATTTCAGTAACTGGATTTCCTCAGATATAGCACAGAGAAAAAGTCCTACACATCCAGTACTTATCCTGACATGAAGCATAACACAAAGCGTCCTTGTCACAGTAGATGGGAAAGTCAATGTAAGTGGAGCTTTGAGGCAAAGAGCAACTGCTTTTATCCTCGCTGCTGCGGCTGCTGCAAGGGCCAGCCTGGTTCACTGAGTTCATACATAATAACAGAGAAGTGCAGGAAACAGAGCCTCAAAAATCTGCAAGAAATATGCAGTTTTTTGCTTTCCTTTACTTTGTTTTTTATGTTTTTCCCACTGCTTCATGAAATATACATAGCCTATATTTTTATAGAGCAAAGACATATGCATTTAGTGTAGATGTGTTTGTGTGAGAGTGACTGAAGGACATTGCAGCCACAATGAAGAATTTTGTACTTTTTCATCAGATGAAATGCTAATAGACCAGGAACACACAAAAAAAGAAACATTGGAAAGAGAAGTGGATTCATCTCTTTTCAGATTTACTCTTTTCCTATCAAATTTCTTCCACATGCATTGGTTTTTATTCCCTTCATCAACTGACAGTTTAAGGTTATAGTCTCCCATCAGAAGGTTTATTAGTGTTATTCTGATTTGATCAGAATAATCAGGGTTCACACCCAAAATAAATGAAAAAAGGATGCAAATATATTGAGTGAATAATTAAATCTCAAGTGAGATTTAAGATTTATTTGTAAAATGTCCATAATTTGTGAAAATATTTTACTACAAAGGAAAGTATGAGTCTGAAGTTTCAGTATGAAGTTTATTTACAGGAAAAAATAGAAGTAGGAAGTGATGAAATGGCAATGAGTAGGCAAGAAATGTGGCGCATTGGTAAAGGGGCAAACTGACCACTAACCCTGAAAGTGACTCTGCACTTTTCACTTGTGTAAATTCTGCAGCATGCCAACTACATCAAGATGTTAAAACAATATGGAATTAGTTTCATGTGTGTCTATCTCCAGCTTTCAGTCATCCAG